TATACACAGGAGATTAGTCAGCAAGGAATCGAGGACCGTGAAGGTACAGGCAGAGAAAGTAGTTGGTGGACAGAGTAAGAAAGAAGAGATGACAGAAAGAAGAAAGAGACTGGAGAGGTTGGGCTTAGAAGACACAGTGGAAAACCAAGGGAAGCCAACAGTGGCGTTTACAATACCAGAACCAAAAATAGCTTTGGCCAGGGAGAAGGGAGCTTGGGAGAAGAAACTCATTTTATCTGCGAGGAAGGAGGTGAAGGACTGGAAAGGGCTGTTAGAGGAGGTGTCGTTGAAGCTTGGGTTAAACCAGACGGTCACTCTTATTCCATTCAACGATAGAAAAGCAGTCCTTGATGTGGGGGAGATGTCAATGGACTTCACCATGCTGGATACGAGTGAAGGACCTGTTAGAATTGAAAATTGGTGCCCCCTTTCAAATGAGGTTGCTGCTGTAGAAGGCAGTTTCAAGCTGAAGCTGCTAGGGCTACCTTTTCATCTCTGGCAAAAATTCACCCGAGAGAGATTGGTGCGAGCGATGGGTGGTGCTCTCCTGTCGTACAAGACTACAGATTTAAGAGCAGTTCTTTTGAGAGTTGCTGGAATGAAGCCTGAGGAAGTTCCGAGGGTACTACAACTATGTGCAGAAGGATACTGGTATAAAGTCTGGGTGAGTTCGGAAGTTGAAACGTTGCAGTGGATGGGGAGGTCGAAGCTTGAAGGAGATGATGACGTGGCAAGATGGATTACAGTTGGCGGGACTGAGCAAAGGAAGTTTGGACACGTGGCAACTGCTGGAGTGAAGCTCTCATCAAATGTGGAAGCTGAAAAGTCGAGGCATTTTTGAAAAAGCTTTCAAATTTTTTTGAAAACAAAAACAACTTTACAGCTGGTTTGTCCTATGTGGAGTTGGTCAAAGGAGTAATCCGGTCAGACCAAGGAGCGGTTCGAGTCAGGTCCAAGTTCGAGTTTCTCACTACACATTCTGACCCGACTGGCTCAGTTCCGGGTCGGTTTGTTCATAATGAGATAAGGGCCCACAGCACTTCTTCGGATTCATGTGACCACTTAAGTGGTCACGTGAGTCGTTTTTATAAGCAGCCGTTGATAGACAATTCCAAGTGTCTATCTTCTTCCTCACGAGATTTGACTGTTGGGGACCGAAAATCTCTTTCAGCCAGCCAGAGTTCATCGAAGAAGACTGAGCTGGATTCCGGTGACAAAACTTAGAGAAGACGACCGGGATGGGACGGGGGGAGATAGGCCAAATCCAAGATATTCCAGGGGGTGTAGGGAAGACGGTGAAGATGAGGACGGCGGTTGGGTCAGTTGTGTAGCTCAGAGGAGATGTCAGACTCAGACGATGAAGCGGAATTTTAGTGTGACGAACATCAAGGAGAGTTGGAAGACACCTTAAACACTGATATACTATACTCAAAGCTTGCAGCAGAGGATCCCTTACTGCATAAAACCTCCACTGGGTGCAAAGAGATGAATGTTGCCAAGTGTGCTTTGAAAGACAAGGAGGAAAATCGAATACTAAGGAAGAATCAATCCAGGACAGTAACTTAAGACAAGGGACCTGCAAGAGAAATTCGGTTGCTCACCAAAATTCGAGCAGAGATGGCACAGGTGGGGATAAACGACAGAGCCTCGGAAGTACGAAGAAGGGTGAAGTCAGCCTAGGTGGCGATCAGCTAAGCCCTATTCAGAGAGTGGGAGGACTAACCCTGTCGATTGTCTCTTCTCCTATTCTTTCAGACCCAGGTATGGCTGTGGTTTCAGTTTTAGATACTAATGTCTGCTCTGGTAAGTTGGAGAAGGAGGAGGGGAACAGGAGTAGTGAGGTGTGTGTGTGTGAGGGGGGGGAAGAAAGATAAGGGAGAGGAAGAAGAGGAGTCWTTAGCTGAATTTGTAGGAAAGTTAGGTTGCAAGGTGAAAGATCTAAATGAGCTGAAAGGGTATTTACGGGCTGAAAAAGATGGCGGGAATAGGAGGAAGAGAAGGTTAGGTGAAGCTGAGAAACTGAAGTTGGAAGTGGACGAGGGCAAAGAGGCTAGAGTAAGGAAAGGGAGGGGAAGAAAAGGAGGCTATTAGAAGGAAAGGGAGTGGGGGTAAGCTGAGGTGTTGAAGAAATGAAGATTGTAAGATGGAATGTGAGAGGGTTGGGGGGTGCAAGGAAAAGAGCTTTAATAAAGGAGGTCTTAAAGAAAGAAAACCCAGACATTGTTCTAATTCACGAATCTAAACTCATGTCATTTGATAAGAGATGGGCTAGGAGCGTGTGGAGAGTGAACGGACTAAGCTGGGTTATGAGCCCTTCTTGGGGTTCATCTGGAGGGTTAATTACTTTGTGGAAGGATGAAGTAGTGGAGGGAGTGGAAGAGTTAATGGGAAGGTTCTCAATTTC